GGACCAAGAAATATTTGCTGAAGCGTTTATCTCTGGTATTTTTCAAGCTTTGGAACACCGAAATGACTGCGAAAATATATTGTAGGTAGGAAAAGGGGTTGATATAAGTCCTGAACATGTCATTCTACTTAGAGACAAGGAATAGACTTCGTCTTGTCTCATAAATCTCTCAGGAAGCGTGAACTGTGAGCAAAGAAAAGAATTTTCTACAGTTTCTATGATGTCCTTTCTTTATTTTTCTTTTCTTAATATTAGCTAGAGATATATTCTATAATGTCTTAATTTATTTATGTAAGTGCTTCTGTTTTAGTTAAGAATTTAGCCTTTGTGGAAATTCTTTAACAAATATTCTTTACTTCCTATTTAACAAGTTTGAGGAATACTACGATGTATTTGGGAATGATTTAGAGCGCTTCAAGGTATCTTAAGGCAGTTCATCCTAAGATAACCAATCCAACCTAAGTTATATATATAAGACCCTCGTCGAGGAAGTAATAACCATCTTGTAAGTATAATTATGTCTCCCCAAGAAATTAGATTAAGATACTATCGGTTTTCTCACTGAATCCAATTCTGCTCTAACTCATGAATGCTCAAATGAGTATAAAGAAAGAACAACAAAACATTCTGGGACCCCTCAGCTCCGAGAAGAATCCTCCCCTGGCATTAAATAAAACAGATTCTCTTTTCGCTCCTGCTTAGTTAAAATTTCCGTTGTCGCTTCTTATATGTTCCTACTAGAAGAATATATGAGCTAAAAATCTCTTAAACGAGTGATCACGAGCCTCTCAAAATTACTTATTTTGTTCTTACTCTGGATCAGGTCTACCTTAATTTTCGATGTTTATTTGAAAAAAGGAGTCTCTGGGTATAACAGATGAATAACCTCCTTATAGGTGATGTCTAAAGGGCCAGTCAACCAACAATCTTTTAGCCATCTTATCCCTCCTGCACACCCCCAAAAAAAAAATCCAGCCGAAACCGGAACTACCCAAGAATTTCTCTCCGCATGACTGGAGTTGAATATCTAAAAAAAGGAGGGTCAGATGGAAAAGTAACTTCAAGAAATTCTAAATCTAATGATGGTGACTTATCAGGAATTGATAGAATCCCATAAATTCTCTAATTTATGAACCAACTTATAACAGAAACTTGACCATAGGATGATCAAGCCCTGTTTAATATTAAACCCCTGTCCTCTCTCAAACGAAGGACCGGGAAGGGCAGAGGATGCCCTAAAGACGGAAGCAACTTCCGGATCATTGTTTCTAACTATTCAAAACTCCAATAACAGGAAATCGGCAAAACAGTATGCCACTATACAATTCATGTTTTCAGGACTCCTTCTCACTCTATAATTACTTAAAAGAAATCCTTCTTTAGGAAATCATCGTATTGAGAGATTTTCAGAGGAACAATCTTGTTCCTTTTATGATTTCTTTAAAAAAAGCTTAACTAATGGAATGAATAAGTGTTTATCCATTAATGAACACAGTCAAAAACGTATCTTTAGTTCTCTTTAGCCCCAAAACAAAAACAGGTTACAGATATCCCGTCCTATTGTATATTTAGCTACCCACCTTATTTCTCCAACCTAAGAAGAATTTCCTAAGAGAGGAAGGAAGGGTTACCAGACGAGTAACCCCCAATCCGAAGCAGGATTTTCGCCTTTATGTTGACTACAATGACTGAGTACACTCAGACAGGAAAGGAATATTTTGACAAAAGAAATTACGTTACGAAACCCAAGAAAGCATAATACCAAGAAACACAACCCCGAACTTCATCACCCAAACAAGAAACCCCGGTCACCTACAATAGGCGTTAGGCTGGACTGGATAAAACAGGAAAGAACCCAAAAACACATCTGATAGAGATCGTAAGAATAAACCTATATATAATATTTCTGAGGAGGAAAATGAAGATGAGTCTGACAAACGACAAGTTGGTTTAATGATTTCTTCCAGGCCAAAAACTCTCTTTAACAGAACAGCTCCAAAAAATCCTTGAGAGCCCTCTCCGTCAAAGATAGACCAGTTAAAAAATCACTTTCTCAATCTATAAGCAATAGGCCCAGGGAAGGATCACTCCAGAACTCTAGAAATAGTCTGATGAACTCTGAACTCTAGGGGACTTTCTCAACAATACGAAGTCTTAATCTCTATATACTCCAGACAGCTTATTTTCTGTCTGTGTGACTCATTCTAAATAAGGAACACCAAATACACAAGCATAAGCAAACCAAAGGTAGTGTTAAGATCCCACCACTATATCCTATCCCTAACATGAAAATCAACTCTAAGCATCCCAAAGCTTAATTGAGAAATAAAGAGCAAAAGTTTCATGAAAAAAACCAAAAAGGAAAAACCAGTAGGAATAAAAGGATCACAACAGCCCAGACACCTCCAAGAGTTATGTCTCTTAAAGAAGTGAGCGTAAATTAAAATAATAAATTTATTTCCTCTGATCCTCTCAATCAGTCAGCCTCACTGACTATTTCCCTCCAAAATGAATAGATGCCTCCTTCTAGGTAGATTCACTAATCGCCCAAATCTCAGCCGAGTTAGGAATACTAATCGTACAGGTTCTAAAAGGAAAAAATGTCCACCAAGTTCTATTATCCTCTAGACAACTAAACTTTCCATTAATTCTGACAAGAACGAATCCCCCCGAAAAAACTCAGGCCCAGGCACAGGACCCCCCACAACCAAGATTCAGGACCTGGCAAAGGGAAAACTTCTCCAATTAAACGACCAGACCAATCTGAAACCCCCGTAACAGCGACCTAAATCTTACCGGATCCAAATACAGGCTCTGTCCTCCAAGTCAGGGCAGTAAATGCTACATGAACAATCTAAGCCTAATATCACCCGCAACCATACAGAAAACTATATGGGGAGAAATTCCTTCAGCTAAACCCAGAACAAGATTACCTCCATCCCCAGAAAAATCAATGCCAAGCTAGAAAAATCCCCATATCAAAGAAGCGCAATCCCAAGATTACCGATAAAACTCACAGAGGACTGACAAGAACAGCCAGAAAAAACCCATCGCCTGAATCACAGCAGGATCAACTAAGCTTTAATACCATATAACAACCAAATTAAGAGATGATATTTAGATTCTGCACAACTAACTAATTGGCAACTCCAGAAAAGTAATATAACAGGTAGAATAAATATCAACAGCCCCTCCCGAATCCTAAATCAGAAGACCAAAGTCTCAATCATTAAGTTAAAGAGGAGTCCCAGGCCCTTTCGGAGGTGAGTCACAAAATCAAGAAATCCCCCTGACTCCCCAAACACGACAGTAAATATAAGAACTGAGAAGAATAATCCCAGTAAGAAGCAGAAACAAACCTGACGAGAGGGTCAGAAGTGGAGACAAGCTCCAGATCATTTGAAACTGGAGGTACAGTCTCAGACACCTCCTATACTAAAAAGTAAGATACAAGTACCCAACTTAACGAAAGCTTAAGAAATTGGCCCAATATATGGGATCAGGGACCCAAGAGCGACCCCCACACTCCAGTCAGAAGGGGGATATCAATAAGGATTAAAGGGTCCCCTAAATACCGCTGAAGTAGCACAAGGGTCAGGACAAAGAGCCAGGACGAGGATCAGCAAATAAAACCAAGCGAGGATGCTGGCGAACTCCTAGGACCAACTACAAAAAACGCAGGATAAGTCATTAGTGGAGGCAAAACCAACCCCCAAGAAATCTCATCCTACGATAACTTCAGGTAGCCAAAAACAGGAGGAGATAGAAGACTCCGTACCTAACAAGTGAGACTCACAAATCTCAAGAAATATCAAATGTCTCAGCTAGAAGAAGGGATAGGACCCCTAATCAAACCCAAGAGAACATATCTCCCTTCTCTAACCAAAGGCCGGAAAACTGCCCAGTCAGCATACCAACAAGGGTCAAAGCCCGAATTTTAGGAGATGAGTTAACCAAACTATCTCTCACCAGGCGATAACACTGCCACAAGGACAGTGAAACCCAGAACAAAACGAATTCCAACGGGCTTAACAAATAATGAATATAGCAGATCCAAGAAGAGTGAATAATATACACGCACGAGAAATATCAGAAATCTTCACCAAAGCTTCAGAGGGGCAACTAACTATGAAGTAACGGAAGCCAATTCGAAAAGTCTCCTTGATCAAGTTTCGGAGAGTTTAGAGAACGAAAACAGGAAAGCAAGATGATTGGACTAAGCGGATGAATCAGCAAACAGAGCTACACCAGTCGACACCAAAGGAACAGGGACTCTCAGTAAACCCAGACGCCAAGATAGATACATCTCCTGCACTAACGATCCACCCGGCATCAGCAGGAATCAATAGTAAAATCACAGGGGGCAGCATATCTAGGGTAACTCCCCCCACCCCAGTAAAAGTAAGTCTCAGGAGTTCAAGATGAAAAGCGCCCAGATCTTCGTTTGGAGCATCCTCTGGCAATGGAACCTCTAGGAAATAATAGGACCCCCAAGGGAAGAATTAGAAAGGGTGTCTAGGGAGCCACCCAACTTCTTAAGTGCGAAGGTGATTGACGTCTCCATTAGGTCAAACAGCTACAGAGGAAGGGCTGAGGCAGCAGAACTCTAATCAGAAGAAACCCAGAGGATCCCCCCATGAATCTCGACCAACATTTCGAGTCACTCATCCAAAAGAGATACCCAGGATAAGCACGGGACAACTTCCCCTGGGCCTGACCAGAACGACTATAGGGGGCGTAGGGGCCTAACACGAGTGCACCCAAGAGGAAAAGAATTTAGTGCAACAAGAGAATATAGATCTAATCATTCCAGAACAGCAAAGGAGAGATAGAAGAGACCTGATGAGGAATATACATGAACCAACGGGAAAGGATCTCACGCCGCCAAAAATAAGAAATCCGTCCCCCCTCTCCTCAGGGGGCAATTCTGAGCGTGAAGGAAAGGGGGGCCCAAACTCCTCAACCATGGTAAAGGAACAATCCAGCAAGAAAAAGGGACAACCGACAGAAAAGATTGATGGGGATGAATTACGAAAAGGTCAGCAGGAAGAAGCGAACGGAACCCACCGATCCTCTCTAAAACATCGGAGGATCAGGATCAAGAACACGTGTGCGAGGATAGAGACTAGCAGGGAGATCAGAGGGAAGACTTGTGGACAACAGCCAATCCTCAACCCCCCCTCGGAGTGCAAGGACCCCGAGGGGCCGAAACAGAAAGAAGCAAAACAGCAAGAATATCTCACAGACGAATGACCACCCACGAAGCACAATATACCAGACGAGGAAGGACCCTAAAAGACAGGCTCATAGCGAAGAAACAATTCCACGTAAAAGCAATAGGCAGCCAAACGGAACATACAGACCGACCCCCCGAGGATTAGGAGGTATAAGGGAACCCCAGGGAGTTGGGAAACACCAGCCAGCGAGAGGAGAAGCACAGGACACAGTCAGCGCCCACGGGCAAGTCATGAAGGATCACTACGTCAGGGCAAGGACAGGAGCTAGATAGGGAGCTGCGAAAAATTGAAATCAGACGGGAGGTAATCACAATAGGATTCAGTTAAGCAGTCCCCATAAAACCGGGGTGGTATCCCCCGGATTATTGAATCCGGGACCAAACCTCCCCAGGCAGAAGAACAATTTAGGAACCAACAGACAGCCCCCCTCGCTCCATTAAAGGCAGACGAGGAGAAAGTTGACTGTAAGAATGTCCAGGAAGATTTCAGGGTAATTCAAGAGGGGCAGCAGTAGTCTCCCCCTGGGCTGAGAGCCGGGGATGGTGAATGCCGCGTTTAAAGAAGGTACCGGAAGGATAGGGGAGAGACGCCCAGGCGGCCCGAGAGGGGGCGCAGCCGCATCGACACTACATATACATATAAGGTAAGCTATGCGACAGGACAATTGAGAGCCCCGAAAGAAAGGAGAAATAAGGAGGTTTAGTCCACGTGGGGAAATGGGAGCATCTCGGTAGAGGAGACAGGTACCTCCAGAGCCAACCAAGGAAGGGGGAAAACCGAAATGAGAGCATACGAATATCCAGAAGGATTCTAAATCATGGAGGCCGGCGCAACCCCAGGGGGACTCAAGAAATAACGAACCTATCGCAGCTAGCCAGTTGCAGAAAAGGGACAGGACATTTCAGGATAGAGTGTTTCTCCGGGGGGCACGGCTCAAGAGGGAAGACTGGACACCAGGAGTCGGGGGGGAAAAATTAACCGCGCGATGGAAGGAGGAGAGAATAGATAGATGGGCAAATCGTGAGATGGAGTAAGGAGGCAGAACAACGCAAATACTCTCCAGCAGCCATAAGTACCGGTCCCAGGAAGATGAAGCAGACCACCAAGGCGCACAGGAGCGAAAGGTTAGAGAGGAGCAATATTTCGCGGGACACGTATCAACTAGAAATATACGAATATCAAAAAGAACAACTAATCTCCTTCCAGAAGGTCGAATAACGACGGAGGAACCACAGGGAGTCAGGAACTCTCCACCAAAAAAAAGGAGCCCAAAAACACTGACAAACAAGGAACAAGCAGACGAAGTAGGACTCGACGGCCCCGAGGAGGAATAGTCCCCTGATCCAAACGAACAGGAGGCTCTATCTAATACGGTTGAACAAGAAATAACGAACATAGGGATCAAAGTAGAAACTCAGGAAAAATCGAAGCAAAGTCTTATCGATCAGGATAGAATATCAGGCAGAAGAGAATAGAGCAAAAACAACCAGAAGCTTGATTGATAGGAAAGACACGTCAAAAAGGACAAGCCGGGGCCAAGGATCAATAACTTAACAGAGCATTTAGAGACATGAACCAGAAGGTAATTTGGAGGGGAATCCCTAGGCATCCTGCCCCTCGAGGCCTAGCATGTGATAACACAAATCAGTCGAGGTTCTGTTTCCGGTTAGAACAGCTCCCACCGAAGCAAGACAGAATAGGTATGGGGGTGAGTCAGTGGATAAGCACAGTGGAGGGACAGGCGAAGGATTATAAAACCCAGAACGAGGGATATAAAAAAGGGACTCTCGTCACAGACAAAGAAGGACAACCAGTCGAATGGGGGGATATTTTGGATAATATAATACAATGGTGTTTGAAGAGGGCAAAGGATAAACCCAATAATACCAGCACAGATAAATATCTGGGTCCGGCGGAAAGGAGACTATGGAAGGGACTGATGGATCAAAACGAGAGTCTACAGTGCAACGCCAATAGCACGTGTCAGAAGATGTTGTATCTGATTGGATGCATAGTTTACTGGTTATGGAAGGATGATATGAGACTCATAGACAATCACGACCACGTTTGGGGGCCGTGTAACAAATTGAGGGAGAAAATTTTGGACCCACAAAACACAATAGGTCTCGACCCAGCAAACACTTGGAGCATAATCGACAGGTATAATCAGAGATGTCAAGTCGATACAGGATTTAAATACTGCAGAATGGAAGGGTTAAGTCTCGTAATAAGTGTAGTCCAGGCACTGACTGACTTGTGCCCTAACTGTCCCTTAACAGGTCTAAAAGAAATCTTCGGGGGGCTCGTGACGATGAGCCAAGAACAACAGCTCTATTGTAGAATGCAAGCAACACCTTACCCATTCTGTGTCGTAGATGCAGCCCCAAAAGAATCTGACTTGAAGTTAATTTCAGGAGGTGAGGAGGCAGTAAAACTCAATAAGGACGATGACCGAAGGAACGCCCTCCCTCTAAGCGCAGATACCGTGGTAATAGCCCCGGTTGGGAGGACTCCCTCAACAACAGCCAAGACAGATCAGGAACTGACCCCCTAGAAGTTATCCGAGCCAGGAGGCACAACAACAGCCCCAGCGTCTGGCGGCCGGATAGCAGGGAAAGAAGCGAGGCAACCTGACCACCTCCGAGCTCGAACAGAAAAGGCCGCCATCTCCGAGAAGGAGTCTGCCTTAACGGATGAACAAACAAAATCGAGCAGAGCTCCAGGTGGAGTTCAACCTGGAAAGGAGGATCCAACTGTCCAGGGGCCGGACCCCCACACAGAGGGAGGCGTCGCACTCCCAAGTAACGGTTCGGACCATCAGGAGGGTAAAGAGCAGACGAGTCCAGGTATGACCCAGCAAGTGCGGCCCGACGGCAGGATTGGGACAGGCTCAGGAGAAATCGTAGGAGTGACAGTAGGGGTTGGTGTGATGTTGCTTGCTTCAGCATATGGTTTGTATCGTATTTTTGGAGCTAGTCGATCGATCGGGACAGGAGGATTAAAGGCAACTAAGCGGACAAAGGTAGGATACCAGGGGCTTCAGAGGCACATCTAGAGAACACCAAGGGAGAACTCCCCAACCCTCAGGTAAGCGCGCCCCACAGTTTCCGAATTTTCCATCCCATGAGGATCAGCGGACGGCCGAAACAGGCGCCAACTGTCTTACGCCAGCCCCTTGATTAAAGACTAGAAGTCAACTCAACATCAATGCAGATCGTTCCCTCTACAGGCAGTCAAGAGGCAGCGGAAGGGGAAAACAACCGGATCCCGGGGGCCCAGGAACAAGCCAGGGATCCAGCGGCCTCACTTGTCTGAATTCCTGAGATGTTAGAATGTCAAGATTTTCAATGCTATTGTTTTATATGGCGATACCCATCGGCGGCCGTGAGTTAGTATAAGACGGGAACTAACCATCCGGGGAGTTTGACAGCCGTCCGAGTTATTCAAGGAGCCACACCACCAAGAGCCACACACTCAACCTCGTAGGGGGGGGGCAGGATAAATTTAATGTCAGGGAAAGGGGTTTTGGGAATCCGGCAGCAAGTGACCAGGGCAGGGCAGCAGCACCCCCAGAGTCGCACCGGGCCCGCGGAGCCCGATGGTGGACAGAAAGGATGAACAAACTGGGGAGAACCATCCATGACAGAAGCTGAAGGTTAAAGGCTAAGGTACCCCAAGAGGGCAAAAAAACGGGACATGGCAGGAACGGAGCCCGTCCAATCGTTTGGACCTTCAGGGTTCGCCATTAGACAGCTCGCGCCCGATCCTCAACTTGATGGATCTCAGCCGGCAGATTCGGGGTGTGGGATTGCAGAGGAGTAATGAGCCATTTAGGGGGGAGGAATTGGGTTCAGGGTTTAGGCGTGAATTTAGGGTTATGATTAGAGAGGTGTAGGTTTAGGATTAAGGGTTTAGGGGTTCGGGGTTTAGAGTTTAGATTCCGGATCGAGGGTTTAGATTTACAATTCGGGTATTGGGCTTCAGGATTTAGGGTCTGAGGTTCGGGGTTCAGGGTTTACGGTTTAGCTTTCAGTTTTCAGCGTTTAGGGTTTAGGGCTTAGGGGTCAGAGTTTAGTTTTGAGGTGTTATCGGATCTCGTTCAGCCGCTTGTTTTTAATTTCTAGGGTCAGGGCTTCCTGTTTTGGTTTTAGGACTTAGTCTTGTGATTTGATTCCTGACGGTTAGGGGTGTTGGTCCAGAGTGTAGGCCGTGCGGTTCAAGTCCGGGAGGCCCCTGAGGGGTGTCGGCGTCAGGGTGTATAGTCTATTGTTGGCGGTTTAGTCATTTACGTTTAGGGACTATATGGACGTTTCGGGGTTCAGGGAGGAGGTTTTCCTTGTCAGGCACTTCGAGTTCATGGTCTCTGGGGTAAAGTTTTGGGTTGTTCCTTTGGTGTTCAGGTCTTATCCCTTATTCTTCATCCTCTTGGACTTGGAGGTTTGGTGGCTACTTTTTGGTGTTCAGCGCCTAGTGATTAGGTTTTATGGCTCAGGAGGGGGGGGGGTTAGGTTCATGAGGTAGTTGTCAGCTTTTAGGTCTCGTGTTTAGGGGTATATCGCTTAAGTTCTTTGTCTATTGGTCAGGGCGCTGGGTGCTGCTCGTTACATTTAGGTTCCGGCTTATGGATTAGGCCCTATTTCCTAGTGATCTCTTTATGAGGGCTACGTTTCAGGTATCAGGGGTCCGCATTTAGTGGTGATCCTTCCAGGGATTACATGAGCTTCCTCTGCTGTTAGTGTCTTGGGGGCCGATCGCTTGTTCTATTTTTTCAGAGTCCTGGGTGGCGGTGAGAGTCTATAGGCCATACTGTTCTTCTTCTATGGCGTAGTATCTAATGGTTTTGACTTGGAGATTAGACTTCCTCCTTTATTATGTACTTGTCAGTGATCAGTTTTAGGGGTTATTCCGTAGTTCTTACGCTTACTCTTCCCTTTGTGGATTGTCCCGTTCAGAATCTACGGGTTCTTTTTTAATATTTAGTCGTCACCTTTTAGTATACACGCGTTAAGCCCTAGGGTTCATACTCTGTCTTCTAGGCTTCGTCTGTTGGGTGGCCATTCTCTTTGCCCTGCCCTTATTAGGCGGCTCCATGATTCTTACTCTTTAGGCTCTGGTGCGCAGTTGGTTTTTTTACCCCTATCCTTCATTCTTCACGGTTTCCTTATTTGCATTAAGTCCTTAGGTCCCTTTTACTTGTCCTCCTATAACCTGACTGGTGTAGTTTCGATTAGTATGTGCATTTGACTCACTTGCTCGGCTATCTGGGATATGTAACCCCCTTTAGTTCTCAGTTTGGAGTCGTCATACTCTATTCCTTAGCGGCTATGGGGATGTTTTACATTTAGGCTGTGTTTTTCATTTGCTGTTAGCTGTGATCCAAGACGGAGGGTGTGGGGGCCTTCCTTAAGTCTAGTATTGCCGAGATAGGTTCCTTGTTTTTGTTCCGTAATTGTCCTGGTTCAATGGCTACTCCCCCGTTTTTACTTCCTGAATTTGAGCCTGACCATTGAGTCCTTGCTGGCTAATGTGTGTGGGTGTAGCTTTCACAGGTTTCCTCAAGCCTCTTCTTTCTGTACGCCCCAGGAGTAGGGGCCTTTTGGGTCCTGTTTATCGCCTGGGGATGATTTTTTAGGGAGTGATGATAACCGATGTTACGTATCAAAATGAATTCGCCTTTATAATTCCTTGATCTTAGTTTTTACTAAAGAATAACTATCAATACAGTAAGTGAGGAAGCCTGTATATCCACATATGTATGCAGTTCTCAAGGAATTAAAAATAATTCCTTTATTCTCTAATGAGATTACAGCTACTGATTCCTAATAAGCCACATAATATCTGTAATATCTTAAAAAAACAAAACAAAATAAAAGGAGGACATAAGCTAATCCGAATTGGTCAATAGTAGCCCTTGAAATAATCATGGAGGATTGTTGGCATCACTGGAAGACA